CTGACCTTTATGATTTCTTTCCTTCTACTAACTTTGGGTTTTGTTTCTTCTTCTTTCTCTATTTCCTTCAGGTGTAAGGTTAGATTGTTTATTTGAGATTTTTCTTGTTTCTTGAGGTAGGATTGTATTGCTATAAACTTCCCTCTTAGAACTGCTTTTAATGCATCCCATAGGTTTTGGATCATTGTGTTTTCATTGTCATTTGTCTCTAGGTATTTTTGATTTCTTCAGTGATCTCTTGGTTATTTAGTAACGTATTGTTTAGCCTCCATGTGTTTGTGGTTTTTACATTTTTTCCCTGTAATTTATTTCTAATCTCATAGCGTTGTGGTCAGAAAAGAAGCTTGCTATGATTTCAATTTTCTTAAATTTACCAAGGCTTGATTTGTGACCTAAGATGTGATCTGTCCTGGAGAATGTTCTGTGCGCACTTGAGAAGAAAGTGTAATCTGCTGTTTTTGGATGGAATGTCCTATAAATATCAATTAAGTCTATCTGGTCTATTGTGTCATTTAAAGCTTGTGTTTCCTCATTAATTTTCTGTCTGGATGATCTGTCCATTGGTGTAAGTGAGGTGTTAAAGTCCCCCGCTCTTATTGTGTTACTGTCCATTTCCTCTTTTATAGCTGTTAGCGTTTGCCTTATGTATTGAGGTGCTCCTGTGTTGGGTGCATATATAAGTGTTATGTCTTCTTCTTGGATTGATCCCTTGATCATTATGTAGGGTCCTTCCTTGACTCTTGTAACATTCTTTATTTTAAAGCCTATTTTATCTGATATGAGTATTGCTACTCCAGCTTTCTTTTGATTTCCATTTTCATGGAATATCTTTTTCCATCCCCTCACTTTCAGTGTGTATGTGTTCCTAGGTCTGAAGTGGGTCTCTTCTAAACAACATGTGTATATATATGGGTCTTGTTTTTGTATCCATTCAGTGAGCCTGTGTCTTTTGGTTGGAGCATTTAACCCATTCACATTTAAGGTAATTATCGATATGTATGTTCCTGTTACCATTTTCTTAATTGTTATGGGTTTGTTTTTGTAGGTCCTTTACTTCTCTTGTACTTCCCACTTAGAGAAATTCCTTTAGCATTTGTTGTAGAGCTGGTTTGGTAGTTCTGAATTCTCTTAGCTTTTGTTTTTTTTTTTTTCTGTAATGTTTTTGATTTATCCATTGAATCTGAAAGAGATCCTTGCGGGTAGAGTAATTTTGATTGTAGGTTCTTCCCTTTCATCACTTTAAATATATCATGCCACTCCCTTCTGGCTTGTAGAGTTTCTGCTGAGAAATCAGCTGTTAACCTTATGGGAGTTCCCTTGTATGTTATTTGTCATTTTTCCCTTGTTGCTTTTAATAATTTTCTTTCTGTTTAATTTTTGTCAATTTGATTACTATGTTTCTTGGGGTGTTTCTCCTTGGGTTTATCCTGCCTGGGACTCTCTGTGATTCCTGGACTTGGGTGGCTATTTCTTTTCCTACGTTAGGGAAGTTTTCAACTATTCAAAAATTTCCCTGGGTCCTTTCTCTCTCTCTTCTCCTCCTGAGACCCCTATAATGCAAATGTTGTTGTGTTTAATGTTGTCCCAGAGGTCTCTTAGGCTGTCTTCATTTCTTTTCACTTTTTTTTTCTTTACTCTGCTCTGTGGCAGTGAATTCCACAATTCTGTCATCCAGGTCACTTATGCGTTCTTCTGTCTCAGTTATTCTGCTACTGATTCCTTCTAGTGTATTTTTCATTTCAGTTATTGTATTGTTCATCTCTGTTTGTTTATTCTTTAATTCTTCTAGGTGTTTGTCCTTTAATTCTTCTAGGTCTCTGTTAAACATTTCTTGCATCTTCTCTATCTGTGCCTCCATTCTGTTTCCGAGGTCCTGGATCATCTTCACTATCATTATTCTGAATTCTTTTGCTGGAAGGTTGCCTATCTCCACTTCATTTAGTTGTTTTTCTGGCGTTTTATTGTGTTCCTTCATCTTGTACATAGTCCTCTGCCCTTTAATTTTGTCTTTCTGTGACTGTGGTTTTCCTTCCACAGGCTGCAGGATTGTAATTTTTCTTGCTTCTGCTATCTGCCCTCTGATGGATGAGGCTATCTAAGAGGCTTGTGCAAGTCCTGATGAGAGGGACTGGTGGTGGGTAGAGCTGGGTGTTGCTCTGGTGGGCAGAGCTCAGTAAAAGTTTAATCTGCTTGTTTGATGATGGGTGGGGCTGAGTTCCCTCCCTGTTGGTTGTTTGGCCTGAGGCAACCCAACACTGGAGGCTACAGGCTCTTTGGGGAGGCTAATGGCAGACTCTGGGAGGGCTCATGGAGTAGTTCCCAGAGCTTCTGCTGCCAGTGTCCTTGTCCCCATGGTGAGCCACAGCCACCTCCCGCCTCTGCAGGAGACCCTCCAACACTAGCTGGTAGGTCTGGTTCAGTCTCCAATGGGGTCACTGCTCCTTCCCCCTAGGTCCTGATGCACACACTACTTTGTGTGTGCCCCCCAAGAGTGGAGTCTCTGTTTCCGCCAGTCCTGTTCAAGTCCTGCAGTCAAACCCTGCTAGCCTTCAAAGTCTGATTCTCTGGGAATTCCTCCTCCTGTTGCCAGACCCCCAGGTTGGGAAGGCTGACGTGGAGCTCAGAACCTTCACTCCGGTGGGTGGACTTCTGTGTTATAACTGTTCTCCAGTTTGTGAGTCAGCCACCCAGCAGTTACGGGATTTGATTGTATTGTGATTGCGCCCCTCCTGCCATCTCACTGCAGCTTCTTCTTTGACTCTGGATGTGGGGTATCTTTTTTGGTGAGTTCCAGTGTCTTCCTGTCGATGATTGTTCAACAGTTAGTTGTGATTCCGTTGCTCTCACAAGAGGGAGTGAGCACACGTCCTTCTACTCTGCCATCTTGAACCAATTTTCTAGTCCTTAATTTTATTATTTATTTATTTATTTATTTTTTGGCTGCATTGGGTCTTCGTTGCTGCGCACAGGCTTTCTCTAGTTGTGGCAAGTAGGGGCTACTCTTCATTGCGGTGCACAGGCTTCTCATTGTGGTGGCTTCTCTTTGTTGTGGAGCACAGGCTCTAGGTATGTGGGCCTCAGTAGTTTTGGCTCACAGGCTCTAGAGTGCAGGCTCAGTAGTTGTGGCACACGGGCTTAGTTGCTCCGCAGCATGTGGGCTCTTCCCAGACCAGGGCTCGAACCTGAGTCCCCTGCATTGGCAGGCGGATTTTTAACCACTGTGCCACCCCGGAAGTCCCTGCATTGGCTGATATTTGAATAGTGAACCAGCCTTGCATTTGTGGGATAAGACAAATTGGCCATAGTGCCTTATTTATTTTATATATAGTTATACTTGATTTCCAGTAGTTTACTGAGGATTTTTGCACCTATTTTTCTAAGAGATGTTGGCAGGTAGTTTTCTTTTCTTATACTGTTTTTGTCTGCTTTTGATATCAGAGTAATTCTGGTCTCATAAAATGCACTGGGAAGTGTTCTCTTGTATATTTTGAAAGAAGTTGTATAGAATTGGTGTTATTTATCTTTTAAATGTATGGTAGAATTCACCAGTGGAAACATCTGGGGCTGGAGTTTTCTTTGTGGAAAGGTTTTAAACTACATATTCAGTCTTTGTGATAGCTATAAACTGTCCTGGTTATTTATTTCTTCTTGCTTACTTTTGGTAGTTTGTGGCTTTGAGGGAACTGGTCCATTTTATCTAGGTTGTCAGATTGGTGTGCACAGAGTTATTTGTAGTATTTTCTTATCCTTTCTGTGGGGTGTGTAGTGGTATTCTCTCTTTCATTTCTGATGTTGGTAATTTGTGTCTTTTTCTGTCTTTGCTAGCTTAGCGAGTGGTTTTTCAATTTTTAAAACTTTTTCAAACCTCTTCCTGAGCAGTTCTCAAAGCCTTTGGAATGTGGTTTAGGGTCAGATCCACACATGTGCAGCTCAGAATTGAGCTCAGAGGTTGATACACAACTTAGTGGTTTCACTCTTGAGTCTCCTCCTCTTCATCATCTTCCTGACACTTTCTGGCTCTCTGGGGTCCCTTCCTTCTCCTCTGTCTAGAAAGCTGGAGCTTTAGTTTCTCTGCTCTGCTCTGCCATGCACTTCCCACAATTGCATCTGTCTCTGGGGCCAAGCAGGGAGACGAAAAAGAGAGGCAAAAACATTGGGGATTTTGCCTGACTCTTGGGACCAGAGTTCCTCTGGTCAGAGAGAAGGGTTCCCCTCCCTGAGAATTCCAGATGCCTGCCTGGTCACTGCTGCTGCTGTGCGGTTTCTTGACAGCTGAAGTGAGAAAGAATGGAGAAACTCAACAAAGAAAATTCCAGGGATTTTCCTCCATGCTCTGGGCCCTGTTGGAGCCTCTTTCCCCACTCCTTAGACTAGAAATAGAGCCTCCTCTTGGAGGCTGTGTCTGTTCTGTCCACACGTGGTGCACGGTTCTTACTCCTTGTAAGCCCATTCTGGGAGATGCTGGACGGGGAAGCCCCAGGAAACACGTTACCAGTTGCATGGTGCTTTGGGTTTGGTTTCCTGCTTTGCTACCGTTTACTTTTCAGAGTCCTCAGAGAGCTGCTCATGCGTTCTATCTGGGGTTTTAGTTTAATTCAGTGGGTAGGACAGAGTAGAGTGTTCTTACACCATCTTGAAGGGATCCAGACACGGTCCTTTGTGTGTTTGTTTGATATAAAATGAGAGCTTCTCCACCTCCCACATATCTGGAGAGAGGGTAGCGGCCCAGGGAACTAACTTCGTTGAGCATCTGCTCTGTGCCGGACACTGTGCCTTAGTGCACAGCGGCATTATTCTGTGACTCTACGCGGAAAGTATGGCATTGTTAGCTCCATTGTGCAGTTGGGGGAAGTTAGGGTCAGATTAATTAGGTCAAAGTCATATAATTAAGTGGTAGGCTGTGGTTATGTATCGTGGCCTGTGTTAGAAAGATTCAGAAAGTTCTGTGGAAAGCAGAAGAGAAGGCTTAAGTCTGATGTCCTGCTTCCCTCTCTCTGCAGGACGGATGAAGGTGATGCTGTGATCATGCACCCTGGGATCCTGTGCATCATGGTGAGGCTGCTGCCTCAGTTGTACCATGAAGATCACCCTCAGGTACTTGTTGTGAACACATGAGTTTGTCTTTTTCACGAGACTGATCTTTTAAGCTCCTCTGGCCAGAGACTCCCTTTCCCTTTTTGCCTTTGCCTCCAGTCCCCTGTATGAACAGAGCCTCCTTCGTGAAGTGCCTCCTGCAGGGGAGTATCAGTGGGTCTGAGACCCTTGATTGAGTTCTGCCCACCCTTCCATGGCCACTCAAAACAGATTGTTCCTGTTGGTGATGTGATCTTCTAAAAACAACAGCCAAACAAAAACTGAATGAAATGATTTACCTTCATGAGGCAAGTCCCATATAAGTGCTACATATAGTGCTGGGCATTGGTGGGACCAGAAGTCCTCTGCTCCCCATTAATTTATCCATTGCTTGGATATTGGCTGTGACCCTGGCTCGGCGCTCTATGTAGGACATGCAGGGCTAACAGGATGAGAACTGAGCACTGTCCAAGGAGCCCACATCTGTGGTGGGGACCGGGAGGTGGTGGTGGGGCAGACAGACTAAGTAAATAAGCTCACAAATGAATCTACTATTACAAATTGTCACATGTGATATTAAGGGGAAAAAATGGGTGCTGACAGAGAATAATGGGAATGGAAGTGGAGGGGGAAGACCTAATTAAATCTAATTTAGATGAAGGTGTGGATGTCAGGGAAGCCATCTCTTTGATGGTAACATTTAAGCAGAGCCCTGAAAGATGAGTAGCAATTAAGCAGGTGGGAAGGAGCCTGCTGCAGGTGTCTGGGGTGGGAGCAAAGCGGGAGAGCTGGAAATGTGCCCGATGGGGCAGGCGGAGGAAGGCTGCCGCCCTGACAAGCTGTGGGGTTTTATCCCAAGGGCAGCACGAAGCCTCTCTCAAGTGAATGGAGGGGGACACAATCAGGTTTTTGTATTAAAAATCTCTCTTGTTGCATGGAGAGTGGCCTGGGAATGGGGCTGTGTGGAAGAGAATGGGGACAGCAGTTAGGAAGCCATGTCCACAGACTGGTAACACATGGTGGTAGCTTGATTACGGTGGCGTCTGTGGGAAAGTGTGTAGAGCAAGGAGTCAAGAGACCTATTGGGAGATAGAATCAAGGCCCTGAGATGAACGGGGCGCAGGAAGCAGGAAGGGGGGGGGAGTCAAGGTGGCTCTTAGCTCCTGTCCTGGCAGCACTGACGGCCCCACTGCAGCGAGGCGCGCTCGTACCGGTGAAAGCAACAGAACGAGGCAGATTCTCAGGAAGTGCTCTCAATTTAGAGAATATGTTCTCTAGAGGTTCTGAGAAAGAAACTCGAAGTTGAGGAAGCCCTGGAAAATACGCTCTTGAATTAGCAGCAGACGAAAGGAAATTACTTGACCTGAGCAGCTACCATGTACCAGGCACGGTGCCACACCCTTTCACTGATTATTTACCCTCATAGATGTTTGGTGGGGAGTATCATTGTTTCCATTTTAGCCAGTGGGGAAACCGAGTCTCAGACAATGTACGTGCCTTTTAAGGATTCTGAGTTGGTGGACCTGGTATTAAATGTGGTCCTACCTGGTGGCAGTTCTTATGGTCTTTCTCCTGCACAGCAGTGGCGTCTATAGGAGAATGGGGGCTCACGGGGGTGCGGGTCCAGCTTTGTTTTGTCCTGGAGTTAAAAAGGAGGTGATAGGGCTTCCCTGGTGGCGCAGTGGTTGAGAATCTGCCTGCCGATGCAGGGGACACGGGTTCGAGCCCTGGTCTGGGAGGATCCTCCATGCCGCGGAGCAACTAGGCCCGTGAGCCACAACTACTGAACCTGCACGTCTGGAGCCTGTGCTCCGCAACAAGAGAGGCCGCGATAGTGAGAGGCCTGCGCACCGCAATGAAGAGTGGCCCCCGCTCACCACAACTAGAGAAAGCCCTCGCACAGAAACGAAGACCCAACACAGCCAAAAATTAATTAATTAATTAATAAACTCCTAAAAAAAAAAAAAAGGAGGTGATATGTTTTAAGAAGAAATGGTGACTACAATTGACCCTTGAACAACATGGGGGTTAAGGGTGCTGACCCTCACACAGTGTACTACTATCTCTGCCTCAAAAACAAAGGAGTTGATAAATGACTCACCCAAGGACAGGAAGGTGAAAAAGTTTGGATAGAATCAGGACTCAAATGCTAGTTTTGATTCCACATATTGTGATCTCTAATTGAACATAAACTTTTCCCTACACTCAGGTAAAGATCTGTAAAATGAAAATACAGGTCTTATATTTATTTTAAAAAATCCATGCATAAGTGGACCTGTGCAGTTTAAACCTGTGTTGTTCAAGGGTCAACTATAGGGGTGTTATTAATCATTGAAAATGACAATGGCTTAGTAAAAATATTGCAAATCCTCCGAAATTGGTGAGAAGTGGAGTGGAGGAGCAAAAGCCTTGATGTGGAAGGAAGGGACTGTTTTACTTAGGAAATTCTGTAAACTAGGTACAGGAGTTAAAAAAGGACTAACTCAATTCCATGTCTACATGTCTCTTTGTAACTGGAATCCTTTATGTGGTTCATGATCCTCTGCTGGAAAGTGACGATAAAGTGATTATCAAACCAATGAGTAGGGATGCATCTAATAGTGAAATGGAATGCACTTTATATCTTTCAACATTTATGGAACAGCAGTAGCCTGGGCTAAAACGGGTTTGATTGCTCCTTTAGTTATCTATCGCTGTATTACAAAGGGCTGCCAAGTTAGCAATAATGGTCTCGTTCTTCCTCGTGGTTCTGTGGGTCAGGAGTTTAGACAGGCACCGCAGGGACAGCTTCTGTCTGGTCCACATGGTATCAGCTGGGCACCAAGATGGGTTCTCCACTCACAGAGCTGGCACTTCACAAGCTGGCTCAAATGGAGAGAGGCTCCTAGGCTGGCCCAACTGGGTCAGATGTCTGGGGCCTTGGTAGGGTCTGGCTTCTCCTCCATGTAGCCCTCACCATCTGGCTTCTACCTGTATACCTCCACCTGGATTCTCTAGCAGGCCACATAGCAGCTCAGGGTTCCCAAAAGCACAAAAACAGAAGATGCCGAGCCTTCTGGAGGCTTTTGCCTGGAACAAGCCATTACTTCCATGGCATTACTTCCATGGCATTCTGTTGGTCAAAGTGAGTCACAGGTTCAGCTTAGACTCAGCGAGAAGGGACCTATGTCTCCTTTACTGACGTGAGGGGTGGCTTGCGTGTACAGGACAGGGGGAATTGTTGGGGGCCATCTTTAAAGACCAGCCACCACACTTGCCTTAGGCATCTAACTGATGGATAAAATTATTTGACCCCTAAATCAAATGTCTTCGAGTCATTTGGTTATCTAAAGCCTGGGACCTTACTTTCTTTACCTTAGTATTCACGACAGGTTCTGCCTGGAGCATATTGGAAACTAATACACATTGAGTGTTACTTCTATTCCAGGAACATTAATCAGTGTTCATAACAGCTCATTAAAATGAGAATCTCCCCCATTTTGCAGGTGCTTGAAGCTCAGGAGAGTTGTGTAACTTCCTAAAATCATGGAGGTGTTGAGGGGAGATCTAAAAGTCACTTCTAGGCTCAAGGTCAAGACGTGTTTGATGAATAGATCTCTCATCTCTGCAGCTCTTGCAGAATGCAGGGTCATGCATCTGGGCTTCCTTAGCTGTATTTCATACCCTGCAGTGCACTTCCAATGCGAACAGCCAAGCCAGTGGTTTGGGTGGTCTTAGCAGTCAGACGGTTGCTGATAAACACGTTGTGCAGAACTCCACCATGAGGATGACTGACGAAGTGATGCAGAGCAGACAGTGGCCTGTCCTTCCGCTTCCTGGTGCATGAAGGCTCTGTGGATGAGCCCCAGTTTCAGATAAACACCATGAGTTGTCACATCAGGGTGTGGGGAGGAACTTTCCCTCATCCTGTGATGGTAATTGGACAAATTAAGTATGCAAATGAGGCTTCCACTTGGCAGGATACTTTTTCCTCTATTCAGGTCACAATAAGTAATTTAGGAAAAGTCTAACTCTCACGCACTCTCTCTCAAATGTGCAGATGAAATGTAGTGGTACATTTTCTCAGAAATCTTCTGCAGATGCCAAATCAGCAGCTATTAAAAGTTGGGTAATTACAGTAATTAACTTCTGAAAGGGGGGGCGGGGGGAAACCTCGTAACAACAAACAGAATAGTAAATCAAATGAGAAATGAGACACACGCAAGAAAATGCTGAAATGAAACTGACAGAAGGACTGCAGGTTTTGGGGCAGAGACAGCAGCTGGAAGTTTCAGTAGATGGCAGTATTACTAAAAAGATGGAGGGGCTTCCCTGGTGGCGCAGTGGTTGAGAGTCCGCCTGCCGATGCAGGGGACACGGGTTCGTGCCCCGGTCCGGGAAGATCCCACATGCCGCGGAGCGACTGGTTCCATGAGCCATGGCCGCTGAGCCTGTGCGTCCGGAGCCTGTGCTCCGCAACGGGAGAGGCCACAACAGTGAGAGGCCCATGTACCGCAAAAGGAAAAAAAAAAAAAAAAAAAGATGGACTGTGAGTTCCCACTCGTCTCCCTTTAGGTGGGCCTGGTGATTCCCAGCATCCCTATACTCTTACCCACTTTACATCCCTCAAATGCTCTTCCTGCCTTATGGATGAGAAATTGATAGCTTTCCAAGGTACAGATATCATTTTAGAAGCAACAACTTAACTACTTACATGGGTTGTCTGGTTTATTTCTTATTGTGGCCAAGTTAAATTTGTTCTGTTCATGACCAAGAGGGGGTTTTTCCCTCTGCAAAATGCTAGCAGTGCGAGCTGCTCTTGGAAACAAATAATCCAGCTGAGTTCTTTTTCCTCTTGTATCATCGCCAGTATTAAAATTGGACTGTAGGAATTTTATTGTGAATGTTGCTGTACTAGGCACAAGGCAAACGTGGAGTCCAGCTGAGTTCTGTTGGAGCTGAGTTGGCCGCTGGAAGAAGTAACTGAGAAGAAAGGCCTTTTCCCTTTCTTTCTGGCATGCTCAGCAGCCATGAGGGGCTTG